TGTCGCTTTTCTCCCTCTTCTTCTGGAGGGTGATGGCGAAGAAGTACCTCCACAAGTCAAAGTGGGGGCTGATCCCCAAGAACCCCTCGCATAGGGTGACGAACGCCGCCATGTGCTAGATCCATTTTGGGATTGAGATGATGTAGCTCGATCTTATAGTAGTGCAGCAGCCCCCGAAGAAATCTGTGGGCGGGAGTCATGAACCCACGCTCGTGGAAGTGGGCGAACAACACCACATAGTCGTCGGGCGACGACAGCAAGTCCTCGCTAGGCGGCAGCCACTCCTCGATCGAGGTCCACGCGAGGAGAAGACCGCGACGGACGAGTCCCTCCATGCGCTGGAAGGAGATGTCGGAACAACACCACTGATCCATTGGAGGTGGGGGCGGATGGATGCGGGCTCAATGGCGATGGAGATGCGGAGGCAGGAAACCTAAGTGATTGGCGGTGAAGGTCGTGGCTACGGAGGCAAGGATGCAAGGTATGGAACCCAGGGGCCTAACCTTTTGGTTTTATAGGGGCGACGGGTGCGACCTAGATCTCCGCACCTACCATGATCTGCCACCATGTCTCGCTGCGGCGCACGTGCATGCAACCTCTGTCCGTTCCCTCAAAAAACTCGCCGAACGTTTCACCTATCCGGACGGGCCATGACCCATCACAGGTAAGAGGAATACGGAGCTAAAAATGCTACTACGGCCCGTCTAGGCCCAGGAATTCGAAGGTTGGCCCACTGACGGGTTCGACAACCACTCCGGGCGCCTTTTAAAGAGAGGGGTGGAAAGGGATGGGCCCGCTAGCGGCCAGAACCTAGGCGCGCGAGCGCCGCGGGCATCCTGGCCCACGTTCGAGTCTTGGCCGGATACGATCCATGGTTTTTCTCGAAGAAAGGCACAGAGCCCTCAAGGCCAGTCGAACGGACCCGAGAACTATATGGATTGGCCGCTGAGAATCTAGAGTCGGTCACCAAGCTGACCCAAGCCGGATCCCCATGAACGGGATGCCGGGGCCCCACTCGGACTAGCCCATTAATAGCTCACCGAGCACCATGATTCATTCATAGAGGAAATCATGGCACGGCTCGGCCCCTCCATTTTTATCAGGAAAAAAGCTTCAGGGAAGACAATCGCAAAGACAAGCTGATCCTCAACCAGACCCCTCTATGGGCGGGGGGCTCGAGGAAAGTTGGACTCACACGGAGACCAGACGCATGGTCATAGAATGACTGACCCCCATAAGGGTCGAAATCAGGAAAGACCCTTTCCAAACCCACCAAATCTCACGGCCATACCCCCGAAGGGTCTGACCTCAATGAAAGGGAATCACCGTCCCCGGGTCACGCCATGGGTGACAAAAGAAGGCCCTCAGAGTCCTCCTATTTGGAAAAACCTCCGAAGGAATTTCTACTCCTCCGTAGGCTCGGGGGCTACTGTCGGGGACCAATTCTAGGGTACCCGAAGAGGAGCTAATGACCATCAACATTGATTCATCTGAGCAGTCAAGAGCACGACTACAGCTCCAACCGACCCTCAGGCACCCAAACTCCGCCTCACCCGACCTCTGGAGGAGGGCTCTGCCTCGCCCGACCCCTAGGCCACAAGCTCCGCCTTGCCCAACCCCAAGGTCATGGGCTCCGCCTCACCCGACATCTAGAGGCGAGCTTTGCCTCGCCTGACCCTGGGGCCGCGGTCTTCGCCTCGCCCGACCCTGGGGCCGCGGGCTCCGCCTTGCCTGACCCTAAGGTCGCGGGCTCTGCCTCGCCCGACCCTGAGGCCGTGGGCTCCATCTCGCCCGACCTCTGGGGGCAGGCTCCGCCTCGCCCGACCCCGAGGCCATGGGCTCTGCCTTGATCGACCCGTCAGGTGCGGGCTTCGCCTCGCCCGATGGGGTCCCATACCGCCGCCAACCAATCTGGGTCCAAGCGTATGGGCCTGGGTCAAAACTCTGACGCCAAGGAAGAGACCGGCATGGCTCGATGTAACCCGTGGCCACGACGGGCCATACCTAAGGATTCACATCAAGAACAACGATCCAGGCGTCTGCAGTGCTCGCATCGCGCTAACCTCGTCACGAACAACGGCAGTACGCGTCGGTTCACCACAACGTCCACCAGGACGGAGTGGAGCGCCATGACCGGCTGACGACGCCTACGCATGGCGCCAGTGACGGACAAGACCGCGACGTGGCGCCGTCCCTGTTGACATCTACAGTGTCGGTGGGACCCGCATGAAGGAGAAGAAGGACCCAACGATCCTGAAGGCCTTCGGCTCTATCTCGTTCTCCTCTTTCCTTCCGATGTAACCCGTGTTTTCCCCTGGCCTATAAAAGGGAAAGCAGGGCGCTCATTAAAAGGCATCGGATCGATTCAAGTCAGGTCCGAACAAACCCATCGAACCCCGAACACACGGCTGAGCATCAACCGAGCTCTCTCAGCACCCGTTCACTCCTTTCACCAGAGACTTGAGACCCGTCCCTCTCTCACCCGTTTGTAACCCCTACTATGAACTTTCAGTGCTAGTAACACAGGCAGCAGCAACGAACTGGACATAGGGATATTCTGCCCGAACCAGTATAAACCTCGTGTCCTCTAAGCACACCATCCGAGCCAGACGCGCAATATTAGAAATTTACTTGTTGGTGGTGACTCAAAACACCGACATTTTGTGTGTACCTGCCTTGGCTGCTCTGAGCTTGCAGGTAGCTGGTTGTGTGCTTGCCTAATACCGCTGCCGGTTTCTGTGATTTTTGAACTGTATGGCAACAATGATATATGAACTTTGTACTGTGTGTCATTTATTCTTGGGAGCATCGGTGGTCAGGCGTTTGAGTGTCTATATCCATGCATATGTTCCAATTTCTACGTTTTGAATTATGGAATGTTTTTTTTAGGCAGTTCCTTCAGTAGGATGTATCTTTTTTAGGCAGTTCCCTATGTTTCTTTTTCATGTTTTCGGTGAGATGATGGCTGCATAGAATCACTCCATGGCTTGTTACTAAAGTTGTAGGTTTGTTGAATGCCTTGAATATGCCCCCACCTTCCTTTCATGCTATGAATTTTAAAATTGCAGCTCATGTGTGTGATGGATTTTTTGCCCTGCTTGACAGTTCTGGTTGGTTATGGCTTCATAATTGCTGACCTTGTAGTTTGGTTAAATCTTGCTGCTAAGTTGTGTGTTTGTTCTCTATTCTTCTTTCATTCTGAATTTTTAAATGGCGGCTCATGTTTCATCTTGTTAATTTTCTATTTACAGTAGATTTCATTTGCACTTACTGTTGTTGATTAGTTGTAATTTATAGGTATAACTGATGTAACTTAGGTTTTAGTGAGTGTGTTCTTTTGTACATTTTCCGTATTAGCTTGGTTGACTTTTATTTTTTTTTCTTGTTTCTTGTCATATTTGCTTTGCTTAAATTATCCTTTGATCTTGGATTTAATTTGTATTAATTTTTTACTTATAGTACTTTTGAATTTCAATTACAGTTGTTCATCATGTGTAATTGATAGGATATTTTGTACTAACTAGTACCATTAATTTTTTTTCTTTGTTTTTTCTTACTTTTTGGAATTTGGTATTTGCCCTGTTTGTTTCCTGAAATGGTCTCAAAGAGTTTTTGTTTTTTGTAATGCATAGAAATATTTGGTTTTTTGTTTATTTGCTTTTCTGATATTTTGTGGAATTTGTTATTTGCCCTTTTTGCTTCCTGAAATGGTCTCAAAGAGTTTTTATTTTTTGCAATGCATAGAATTTTTTTGTTTTTGTATTTATTTGCTTTTCTGATATTTTGTGGAATTTGTTATTTGCCCTTTTTGCTTCCTAAAATGGTCTCTAAGAGTTTTTTTCCATTGCATAGATTTTTTTATTGTATTTTATGATTTTTTATGTTATTTTTGCTATGTTTGGCTATTCGAATGGTCTTAGATTTTTTTTTGCAATGCATAGTATATTTTCGTTTTTTTTTTGCATTTCCTATTTTTTTATTTTATTTCTGGTTTTTTTTCTTCCTGTAATGGTCTCATTTTAATTCTAGTTTTTTTAAAAAAATCGTGCTTCAAGCTTGCTTTTTTAGGGAATACAGAATTCGTGTGATTTGGTTCTTTGTTTCACTCGAATTATGTCCTTTTTTGTGTGTGATTTGCCCCTTCCTTTTACTCGTGTGACCAAATGGAATGAATCACACAGTTTTTGTTTGGTCTAACATTTGTGTGATTTGTACCGTCCATTTGCTTGAGTGATCAAATTGGTCAAATCACTCAAGTTCTAAATAGACAGATCCATTGTTTTTTATAGGCTCCTTCCCAACTTTTGTATGACCCATTTTGAACGGAAAGCTGCTTTGGCTTTCAGTTTCGCTAAACACCATACAGGTAACGCTTTAGCATACTTGTCCTAAAAACTAGAGAAGACAAATGCTCAGTGATGCAGGAAAATTCTCCAGATTGTGCCAGTTTCTTTCGTGGAGCAAAAGGACAAACACCATAGCTACAACTTCGCGCAAAAAAACACTTGAGATCCAACCTAGTAGAAACTAGGTGGTTTCATTATCATTATCATTTCATTAAGAGAAATAGGCATCCAAATTTAGTCTAAGAGATGACTTGACCCTGGGTGGTTTAGATGCATGACTACACCTCTCGCCCAACCGGTTGAGCTAGGCTCACTTGCTCGCGCTTAGAAGCACCATACGTGTGGCGTAGCTGGTTTTGTCATTTTGATGTTGTTGTTAAAATCCTCTAATTCTCCTCTAACCCACTACTACTAATATTTGACGCAACCAAACTGAACTCGCACCGCATCGGCATGATGCATGCACAACACTACGTTTATATTTAGCTGGTAGAGATCAACTTGTAGCCACAAGTTTGTAAGGGCATGCACCATACCTAACCCCAACGCGATCATCGGTTGAGCAAATATAGGTACATGGCATGCTAGGGGGGGCACACGCGGAAGGCCTGGCCGGCCGGAGCCCGGCGATCCATCGTCGGTTGATCGGATGAGATGGATGGCGAATCCAAATGCTCCGTCGATGTCGCCGAGGGCGCCTACATCATGGCCAGCATCATGGCCGTCTCCGGCATCATGGTCACCGTCCTCGTGCTCTCCGGCCTCTTCCATTCTGTGCTTCGACGTCTCGGACAGCCCAGCGTTATCTCGCACATCCTGGTGCGCGCGTGTTTATTTATGTTGATTGGTGGTTGATCAATCCACGAAATTATTATGCTCATCATTTTTTTCTTAATAATGACCATATGGGCAGGCAGGCATCGTGGTTGGCCCGACGGTGCTTGGCCGTGCCATAAACCTCCGCCAGCTGGGCATGCGCGACGCCGGCGACGCGCTTGGCGGCACAATTCGCTTCGTCCGCATGGTGTTCATGTTCTTCATCGGCCTCGAGTTGGACCTGCGCTACTTGCGTCGCAACCTACGTCGCTCGCTAGTTGTGGCCTGCGGCGGCTCCGGGATCTGCTTCGTCCTTGCCGTGCTGGCTGGGCCCTTCTCCTACGGCTTCTTGCACCCGAGGCAGGGCCACTTCCAGCCCAGCAACATCTATGCCTCCACCGCGCTCTTCGCAATCGTGCTCACCAGCACCGCCTCACCCGTCCTCATCCGCATCGTCACCGAGCTCAAGCTGACCGGTTCCGAGACCGGACAGATCGCCATCGGCGCCGCCTTCGCCAACGACATGGCCAGCCTCACCGCTCTAAGCATCATCATTGTCACCCACACCCTGTACGGCAAGGTGCCCACGGAGAAGGAGTCCTCGCCGCTGGCCAAGGCCGCGGTGGTGGCGTGCATGGCGCTGACGGTGTGGATGGCTGTTAACCTTGCGGCGTGGGTGGCTCGCATGCTCAACCGGCTCAAGCGCGGGAGGCAGTACATCAGCAAGTACGAGCTGTGTGGTATGCTGCTCCTTGTCGTGGGCCTCTCAATGCTAGAGCAGATCATGGGCTACAGCGCCTCCATGACGGCCTTCCTCATCGGCCTCGCCATGCCACGTGAGGGCCCCACCGCGCGGACGCTAATGGACCGCCTCGCCTACCCTGTGCACCAGCTCTTCATGCCACTCTGCTTCGGGGCCATCGGTGCTCGCCTCGACTTCGCCAAGATTGGGAACTTCACGGTGGTCCAGCTCGTTGTGGCCGTTACCTTCACCACGTTGTTGAGCACGGCGGGGAAGGTGGCCGGCACCGTGCTGGCAGGGCGGGCGTTGGGCATCGCCACCCGAGAGGCCATCGTGCTGGGTGCACTGCTCAACGTCAAGGGTTACTCGGATATCCTCGCCATCAACTTTGGGAACAAGATCAATGTATGGGGCGAGACCATGCAGGTGGTGCTTCTCATATCGTCCATCGTCAACACATTCATGGCCGGCCCTGCGTCCGCCGCCATCGTCCGCCAGCAGCGTCGCGCCTCCCGCTATCGCTCGCGCTGCCTCGAGGACCTTAGCGTGGACCATGAGCTCCGCATGCTCGTATGCATCCACGACGCCACTAGCGTCTACTCGATGCTCACGCTCAGTGACCTCTCCAAGGGCAGGGCACCGGTCACCGTGTACCTATTGCACCTTGTCGAGCTCGTGACATCGCACAAGTACGCCATCACGCAACAGCTGTACCATGCCCGAGACGGTGGCCAGGATGAGGACGAGGACGAGTGGGGCTACGCGCGTGAGATCGAGCAGGTGGCCTCCGCTGTGGCGACCTTCACCTATGACAATGCCATCCTCGTGCGGCAGATGACGGCCATATCCAACTTGGGTTCCATGGATACAGATGTGCGCAACTGTGTGGAGGATGCGCGTGCGTCGCTAGTGATCATGCCCTTCCACAAGGAGCAACGCTACGATGGGCGCATGGTGTGCCGGCATGAGGGGCGGCGCCAACTGAACCAACAGATCCTGCATAGGGCTCCTTGCACGGTGGGGATCCTTGTGGAGCGCTGTTTTGCTAATGAGGTCACGGGAGAGAATCATCAGGTGGTGGCGTTGTTCCTGGGCGGTGCTGATGACAGGGAGGCAGTGTCATATGCAATACGGCTGGCAGTGCAACCGTCAGTGACAGTGGCTGTGTGCAGGTTCCTTCTTCCAAGCGGAAGGGGTTTATCGGGCAACCCGAAGGTGATGGAGGAGGCCATGGAAGATGAGGAATTCATGGCAGACCTATACGCGAGGTTTGTGGCACCAGGTCACGTATCATACATGGAGAAGTACGTGAGCAATGGCGCGGAGACAGTAAACGCGCTTAGCTCCATGGTGGGTACATGCTCACTCTTCGTCGTGGGAAAGGGTGATAGGGCCCACGGCAGCAGAGGCGTGATGACGAGTGACATGGGCGATTGGGATGAAGAATGCCAGGAGCTAGGGCCCATTGGTGAGCTCCTGTCCTCGGACGATTTGGTAGGTTGTGGTTCCGTTCTAGTGCTGCAGCAGCATAACAAGCACAAGATGAAGACATGGAACAAGGACAACCAACAACAACAATGTCATCAAGCTCAGGGCCACCAAGCTAGTGTAGTCGATGCCAATGTTGTTGTTGACATCATTGGATCCTTCTCCAGCAGAAGTAGTAGTAGTTATTATTCACAACAAGCAAATTGAACTTGCTGCATGTACACGAATATGTATTATATTTAGTTAGTAGAGATTATTTGAATTGTAGCCACAAGTTTGTAAGGGAATTTACAATCCAACCTAGCAATGTACATCCATTGAGTAAACTAGAAGATGCCCCGCGCGTTGCTGTGGGGATTGCGAAGCATTTGGAAAAAAAATTAAGTGAGGATGATATGGAAAGCTTGAATTATTTGGAATGAAATTAAGTGGAGATGATATGGATAGCTTGAATTAAAAGGTTGAAAATTAGTGGGATGATATGGCTATTAGTGTGAGATAGACTTCTAGCGGCGATTAGCTATACGGATAGCTTGCATTTGAGATAGACTTCTAGTGAGGATAAACTTTATAAGAGGTAGATATATATAGGTAGGAGGCTGCTAGGGGGCGCATGACGCCGCACGTACTGTGGAAGGCTTCGCAAAACCAGAGCTGAGGTTCAATTTTCATTGATTGGAAACAGTTGCGGTCCCTTTTGTATGAAAACAGTGAAACTGCTGCAATGCTTAACTTTGGTTTTCATGGGCCATGACCCAGCCGATTTGAGGTCCACTACAGCCCATGCCATGACGGGTCCATGGTATGAACATGCTTTTGGTAATTGGCTATATATGTGGCTAGTTAGTTTTCGGCGTAGATATGCTATTCTACCACATGTCATGTTTTAGTATCTTAGGTCTGATCAATTATAGATAAAATAATAGTAATAACTATGATACCAAATAAATACTACTAGATCAACTATGAAATATATGTTCATATTTAATAATTTAGACTCGTAAACGTGAATATCATTTACTATAAATTTGGCCAAACATAAACCGCTTTAACTGGCAATTAATCCATAATTACATTCTTTTTTGACAGAGGGAGTATGTAAAGAATCACTTTTGTCATGGTCAGAGTCCTTGATTCTTTTGCGATGCAATATAAGTATGCTTTTCATTTAAGCTGGAACAATTTTGTTTAAATAGAATATTTCTCTCACAAAGCAGAAACATTTTGTTGTAAGGATGGGGCATTCTCACGTGAAGCGGGAACATCTTATTGTGGAGTTGGTACATGTACATTTCCTGATGAACCTTGAACATTTCTATAGTTTACATATGCAGATTTAACATTTTTTTAGTTAAGTTATAGCATTATTTTTATTGAGTTCAAATCACTCACCAGGCTCTTGATCCGTGTTCGTCACATTACAACTGATGCTCTTGGTTAAGGAAAAAGTCCAACTCTATCAGCTGGCGCACTCCCCCAAATATTTCGTGCTAAGAGTAGTCCTGCTAAGATTTTTGTTTGGGATAGGTCTATGGTCAATCTGTTTAACTGTTAAGAGGGTGTGAGAATGCTTGTATCCACCTAGTTATAGCTATTCCCTTTTCATCTATTTCATTTTCCTTTTTCTTGTTATTTTGGTTGTGCTCTTGTTGTTCCTTTGTGTGCAGTGTCTTTTCATCCTAATATAAAACCGCTAAGCAAATCTCTTGCTGAGTTTTTTTTTGTTTTTGTTTTTGAGAAAGGGATTTTTGGGACGGTTGTGAGGGAAATAGTCTCTTCCAAGGACCAACCGATCCATTTGTACTGTCCTGTCACGTGATCCAAATGCTAAGTCCAGTTAAACACGTAAACTGCTCTGATCTACTTTTTTTTTGAGAGGAAACTGCTCTGATCTACTTGGGTATGCGGTTTGCCGTATGCGAAAAGCATTTCAGTTCCCATCTCGGCTTGCACTTGTTTACTCCGCGCGACTTCCATGGACCACGGTGTTGGGGATTCGAACCTCGCGCTTGACCAAGGCCGCTACGCGTTGCTACCAAAAACGTTCATCCAAACGCAATCCGTTGATAAATAATCAACGCCCATGATGATCAGCGACGTGTTAGTAGCGCTCCCTAGAACTAGTTTTCTAATTCGTTTTTCGGCCGCCGTGCAACGTACTGTGAATCGCTATATACCCACTGACACCTGGGCCCCACCGGCCACATATGCTACGCTCGGGCCCATGTGTCAGTGGCGACGAGACTGGGGCGAGATAACAGTTTCTCTTGTACGGAGACGGAGCACTCCCGTTTTCTACTAGTCCTCTAAGTCGGGCGGTTTACAAAAATAGGACTCGAAACACAGCTCCGGCCGAGCCCACCGGCAGTAGCTAAACGCTCACGGCTGCTGACGCGCACCAGTGCGCTGCGCACCACCACAGCCACCAGTCGGAACCCACGCATACAAAATGCCAAGGTGTTTGACCCGTTTGACACAAGGCTCCAAGCCCTGTACGCTGTACCGAAGCGGTGGCTTTCAACTTTCAAGATGGCCCCGGGGGGCCCTGTTCATCACGTACGTACACACCGAACTGACCAACCAACAACACCATCATATGCCGCGCTAGCTGTAGGCTGTAGCATCATGTTTCGTCAAAAGGCACAAGCACACTCCCATTCCTTTACTCGATAATACACAAACCTCACCCAGGCACGCACGTCTCAACCCTCAACATGGCCGGGGAGAAAAATAATGCAGCTGGGTTTGCGTTCCTGCTCAATTGCATATAACACCTCCTAGCTCGCACGAAATTGCGAACAAGTACCTGTGTTTTTTTTAAGGGGGGATGGGGGCTTGGTTTAATTTAACAATGATAGTGGTTCACATCGCACCCCCAACTGCGTCATTAGATTATGCAGCCGGATGAGAAATCTGTTGGAAGAAACCGGGTTGAAAGACGAGTGTTATGTAAGGGAACAAAAGCCAAGAACAAAAGAGAAGTATCCAGGAACCACTATGCAGTTATCCACCGCCGTCCCGTGTCACAAAACAAAAGAGAAGTTCCCCCACATTCATAAGTGACCTGTTCGCTTGATTGATAAGTCATAACTGAAAGTACTGTTGACTAATTTGTTGTGAGAGAAAAATACTGCTCGTTGACTGAAAAAGTACGGCTTATAAGCCAAGCGATCGGGACGAAAGAAAGGGGTGGTTTCAGTCGTTTTTATGGTCCTGCTTGTATGGTCAACCCCCACATTTGGCAGTCCTGGAAGGACAAACATGAAATATTGGCAGGAACCTTTTCTGAAATTTAAAAACCAGCTCAACCAGGAGCCATCAGGGGCGAGGCACCCCTCCCTCTCCGTCCCCATCCCTGCCTTCCTCTCAACAACCTGCACAGAGCTACATATACGCCTCGATACATAATTCTGCTTGAGAGCCACCACAACATTAGCACTAACAAATCCCAAAAGTCTAGCTACAGCAATTCTCCAACGACCCCAGAGGCCAGAGCTTAGATATCTGCATATATGCAGAGCTAGCTGAGCGCTGCCATTAATTCTCCCTCGCAGAGCTCCAAGATCGATGGAGGAACATATGGCTGGGCCGCTGTACCGCCTCCGACATCGCCGGCTGATGGACATAGCACCTGCAAGCGCAAGCGATTCAGGTACACGAACATCCCAGAGTTCTTCCTTGCTGCCGATCGATGCGACAGTGTTGTCCGGAATTGGGGTGATTGAGTTGTTGAGGGTGTTCTTGCTGCTGCTCCAGGGCATTCCGGCTCCAATGGGATGACCATCATGGTGTCGATTCTGGCGATGGTCATCGCCTGCACTCTCTTCTACTGCGTCTACTGCTGGAGATGGAGGAAGCGCAACGGTGAGCTACATTTCATCAGTTCGTCGAACATGATGCAATTGTTGCATTGCCAGTTTGCCACTCGCATCGCATGCACCTACAGCTGTACCGGTTGCTGTCATGCTAGAATTATCCTAGTAATGACGAGAGCGTCTCATGACATGGTCCTTGCAGCTGTCAGGAGAGCTCAGATAGAGAGACTGAGGCCGCTGTCCAACTCAGACCTGCCGCTCATGGACCTGTCCTCCATCCATGAGGCCACCAACAGCTTCTCCAAGGAGAACAAGCTCGGAGAAGGCGGTTTCGGGCCCGTCTATCGGGTAACTAAACTAAATGAGCAGCACATGCAGTCAATTTCTAATCCGTTTGTTTTGCAGTAAAACTGTTAGTTCTTTGGACGATGAGATTAATTAGGTCGATCGATCGACTGAATACGGTTAAGTTTCTTGGATTGGATAGGGTGTGATGGGCGGCGGCGCGGAGATTGCGGTGAAGCGGCTGTCGGCGAGGTCCCGGCAGGGCGCGGCGGAGTTCCGGAACGAGGTGGAGCTGATCGCCAAGCTGCAGCACCGGAACCTGGTCCGCCTGCTGGGCTGCTGCGTCGAGAGGGACGAGAAGATGCTCGTCTACGAGTACCTCCCCAACCGAAGCCTCGACTCCTTCCTCTTCGGTTAGTCGTCAGTCATCACTCTGCTGGGACTGGGGATATTCTTCTCTCCAATTATATTCCTGCGTGAATTTCTTTTCTCGTGACAGATTATGCGTGTGGAGTCGTGGAGCACGAACGAATATGGCTGAGATTAGCTCGACCATCGGTATTGCAGAATGTACAGACTGTCAGATTTGGGTGATGCTTGGTTTGAATCTGAATATCTGACTGATACGCGTGTCCATAGGAGATGCACATGGCTACACCCAGATTTTTAGCTCATTGGGCTCTGAGCTCTGCACATAGTTTACTGATTCTGAGTCAATTAGGTCGTATCAAGCTACTAGATCGATGCGAAATAGGTCAATGGGCAGCCAAGTAGTATAGCATGAAAAATCGTGTAGCGTCATGCGCGTCACGCGTGTAACCTTGGTCACAATTAGAAACGAATGGTGATTGATAATCGATCTAATAAGAGGTTTTTGTTGGCCGCCTAATTAAGAATTCTGAAACCGAAACTGTGAAGCGATTTTTGGTGAGCTAATTTGATGAAAGCTTTGTTGCCTAACACTAATCTCAGATACCAGGAAGAGTGGGCAATTGGACTGGAAGACGAGGCAGAGCATCATCCTGGGGATCGCTCGTGGCATGCTGTACCTGCACGAGGACTCGTGCTTCAAGGTCATCCACAGGGACCTCAAGGCCAGCAACGTGCTTCTCGACAACAAGATGAACCCTAAGATCTCCGACTTCGGCATGGCCAAGATCTTCGAGGAGGAGGGCAACGAGGTTAACACGGGCCGCGTGGTTGGCACCTAGTAAGTGCAGTGCAGTGCAGTGCAATGCCACACATTTACATTACATTACATAACTGGATCGCCGAGTAAGTAGTACGTGCTGACCTGAAGCTCCCAACAAAAATGCAGCGGGTACATGGCTCCGGAATACGCGATGGAGGGCGTTTTCTCGGTGAAATCAGACGTTTTCAGCTTCGGGGTCCTGGTGCTAGAGATCCTCAGCGGGCAGCGGAACGGCTCCATGTACCTCCAGGAGCACCAGCACACCCTGATCCAAGAGGCCTGGAAGCTGTGGAACGAGGACAGGGCGGCGGGTTTCATGGACGCGTCGCTGGCGGGGTCGTACTCGAGGGACGAGGCGTGGCGGTGCTTCCACGTCGGGCTGCTGTGCGTGCAGGAGAACCCGGACCTCCGGCCCACCATGTCCAACGTGGTGCTCATGCTCATCAGCGACCACACGCAGATGCCGGCGCCCGCGCAGCCGCCGCTGTTCGCCAGGCCCAGCAAGAAGGCGTCCGTGTCCGATTTCTCGATGGCCATGAAGACGGAGACCACCAAGACGCAGTCCGTCAATGAAGTGTCCATCTCCATGATCGAGCCACGATGAGTGAATGCTAGTGGAGCAGCAAGGGGCGGACGAGATGGAGGCCCCTTCCGGCACCTTGTGGTCCGGATCTGGCGTCGGGGCCGCCGTCTGACGTCCTTGTGGCCGTCGTGGACATGCCTCCTTCTTACGCACCTGGGAGTCCACTTCGGCACGCCGTCGGCGTGGTCCCCTGAGCGGCAGCCGGAGTTCGCTGCTCGCCGGCCAGGAAGCCCCTTGGCACGGTGGTGCCCCCCTCCCCCGACCCACGGTGTCGACTAACGTGCTTGGGTGTCTACCCTGCCCGGCTTCTTGCTCCGGGCCAGCGGCGGTGGCGCAGTCTGCGTCATTTTCCTTCCTGAAGGCGTCGTCGAAGCCTGTCTGCACCGTTCGGGTCGTTGGGGCAGGCTCCGGGATGAAAAAGCTCTGTTCATCCTATGGATGAAAATCCTGTCTGTGTTTCTCCGAACGTTGTTGGCATCCGCGGATGTCATCCCCTTCTTGAAGGCTTTGTTTGGGGCACTCTAGCTGCCACAACTCTCTTAACCGTGCGTCGATCGTCGGTGTTGATGCCTACTCCTTGGTGTTGCTGCCTGTTCTGTTGTGCCTATCTGTGCTTCGACTCTTTCTTCGCATTGGTTTGTCCTTCGATGTTTGTTGTTGCCGCTGTCGTTCGGTTCTTTGGCGGATGCTTTGCCGCTGTTGCTGCTTGGGTGGATGCTTGGCCACCTCGTCGCTTCGGTCTCCACGCTCATTCAGCTGCAGAGCGTGTGATGGCCCTCATTACGGATGCTTTGCCGTAATGGTCCTTTTCCGGCGGATACTTGGCCGCCGTGGTCGTTTCTCGTGCGGATGCTTTACCGCTGTTGTCGTGCCGGCTCCCTTGGCTTCCTTGGTGGATGCTGGCTATCGCGGCTACACTACACCTTAGGTTACCAATGTGTTTTTGTCTTCCTGTAATAGGCTCAGTCTGTAAGGGTTTGCTGGTGGAGGCCCCCCCCCCTCTCCCGTGCTTTCTTGCTGTATCGTTTGTGCTCGTGGGATTGCGTTGGTAATTCTAGGATTACCGGCCAGTCATTTGTAAAAAAAAAAAAAAAACTCTGCTTCTACTTCTACTTGATGAAATCCGTGCCTGAGGCACGTTCGAGAAAAAAATGAGTGAGATGATCGAGGGCCTTAATCGCCTCCGGTCCTCTTTTTTTAACTCCTTTTATTTATCTCTTGACTTGATATAAGTAGTACTGTAGATATTAAAGGTGGAAGTCGAGAGATGTTTTACACAAGCGCAGGATGACAAGGCCGAGAGAGAAAATGCCAGCATCCATCCCAAATCCACAAAAGAAATCCTTGCAGTGGGAGCTGTCGAGATTGTTTCATTCTTTGAGCAATGGCAACAAGCACTTTTTGTAAATACACTGTGTGTGATCTTTACAGATATCTTGCAAGCTGTAATCGCACATGAAAACTCCCAGCCTTTATCGCAGGAAAATCTTCCAACCATGACATACGCAGCGAGAAAATGCATTGAAACTAGAAAGAAAAGGATCACATTCCACGACCGAGGCGAGGGGGATAACACATAACCTTTCTGAATTTTCAATGGGACCATGGATTGATACTTATATACCACTAAAAGAGGAAGTGACCGGAGCCGACTTGTTGGACTTGTTTCCTCACATTGTCAAAGAAAAATCCGCAAGCATCCAAAGCACGCGCACCACAAGAGGGCTAGAACGAAAACCTCGCCGTTGAGCCACCTCACGTACGTCTAGCCAACGCCCCCATGACGCCACCGTCCGTCCACACTCCGCGCGCGCGCGCGCGCACTGTGCAGTGTAAAAAACACACGCGGGTAGATAAAAAATCTGTTGCCGGTTCAGCCGGACAGGCGTCGTCGTCGGCATCTCCTTGGCCCATGCGGGTGACGGCGACCCGAGTCATCAGCGGCGCGTCTCGTGCTCGGTCCGATCGACCTGTGGCGACCTGCGAGTTCGTCGTCATCCAGGGCTCACACATATCATAGGAGTACGTCGCGGCCGTGGAAGTTTCATCGGTCAGCGGCAGGCCTCCCGACCCGCTGATTGTCTGGCCGCGATGCGCGATCCCGACGCGGAGAAAGGGACCTCGCATGTTCTCTTCCCCTGTGCGCCGGCCTTAACTGCGCTTTGCCTTCGTAGGGATGATACAGCGAATAGGCTCGTCAGTGAACAGTTCCATTCCATCTCGATTCTGAAATAAGTTGGGCGGACGGACAGCTCTGAACTCCAATCGGTGCCTAAAACGCCCGTTCATGGATCAGAAATTCAGATAATGCAGCTGGTTCTGGGCAGGTCGGGCCCGAGCAACGGCGAAGCGACATCCCACCTTGCCACTGCCACCGGGGCTGCAAAGGCGGGGGAACGATAGGAACGTCAAGGACAGTTTGGCCGCCCGTACACCTACCCGGCCCGTCGTCCTGTGCGATCGTGATCGCCGGATCATGGATCCGTAATCAATAATTAATTAGTAATTAAATTAATTAATTATATGTTCGTGTGCGTGCCCTCGCCAATCACACGCCCCCAATCTTCACTTGGGTCACTGGTTGCTTGCCTATGCTTGAGAGTGGCGTGGCAGGGCGGCCACATGGTTGCTGGTTGAAATTGTTATAAAACATGTTGCCGGTGGTTAGGATCTTCTCCTCACCGTCTCTCATAATCAAAATAGTAAATGAAAGTAAAACACATAGGCACAAGAAATAGAGAGACTATTCTTTATTCTTCTGAATATTGGTGATAACAACATAAACCTCCCACATATATATAGTTCTGTCAAGGTATAAGAGTTTGGTAAGAGACCACATACAAACGGACTAGGATTAGGATTCTACCTTCTCATTTCCTTCTACGATAGAATCCGTATGTTTTACAACACTCTTCCTTGGGCGATTACCATGATATGCACATGTCTCATTAAAAACTCCATCTGAAAATCCAGTGGGGAAAACGGTTCTTGAAGAAAAGAGTACATCACATTCGTTAATTGCATTGCACATGTTGTCTCATTAAAAACCTTGCGTAAAAAACATTCAAGTAAAAACTCACATAGAAAAAAAGAGTACGACATTTAACCTTGTTGGTCATGTATTCTTCAGGATATTCTATTCTTCATAAATAGATATTTATCTTCATGATCTATGCATAAACTTCAATGTTTTAGCAAATATGATCTACATGATCTTTGTAATTCTAGTGGTTTTAATTACCTTCAATGTAAATTTACTCAAATTGCTCCCCCTCATAAAGTCATCTTTTAAACTTCATTGTTCAGTCCACACTTTTTCATAAATGTATGCTTAATAATGGTATGTAGTACCATAATATCAAAATGTTGGCTTACCATTATTCAATGAATTATAATGTGAGTAAACAAGAGCAATATGCTTCATGCATAAATAACCACTTATTAGTTGTGCAAAACAAATAAAATTTATCCTTCAGGGTAATAAATTCTTTCAAAGAATTATGGGGGTAAATAAGTTACAATATTCAATATCTTCTAGATATTGTATCAATCTTATACTAGAGTTTAAATACTTATAATTCTTTCTTAGTGGATTTTTAAATTATATGTTCTTTAAATTTTAGGATTTTAATTGTACCACTAAATAATAAATACAGTCTTACATTTGGCATTTATGGGATAATTCAATTGTCAAAATTACCATTATTCTTATACCTTCTATGGTATTTAAAGGATATCAACACTTCATTTGCTAGCTTTTGATATGCACTTTCTGAGTGTTTATATGACACCTTCATGGTGTTTAAGATTCCTCATTTTCTTTCTCTCGGGTCTATATTCACTTTAGGGATCAATGTTGTTTATTCAAAAATCGACTGGTAAATCCTTAATGGATTAGTTCCTTCAAGGATGTTCTTATTTTCGGTGAATTACATTTCTCTTCCACGAGATATATTCTCTACTATATGAGAGATTATTCTGAGATATACACAATGAGATAGTGTTATTCACTATAAAGTCATTCGATGACTCTATTCCTTTTAGGACATGCTCTTCTTGAGACTTCAATATTCATACAGGAATATATATATTCTACCTTAGACTTCTTAATACTTAATATGGGATTTAATTTACATATGTTGCGATTTCTATTCTTCAGGAACTATATGAATTTTTAGAATCCACTTACTAACTGCATATTTATATTCATTTCATTTGCCAGAGATATAGCATAGCAGAACATTTATTTCTTCATACTAGGAGATTTAACCTCAATTGCTTTCTTCATTGACCCGATATAATTGCTACAGGCGACTTTGTCATGGACTTTGTTTTTTAGATCCGGTTCTTATAGGAGAAACATTTGCAATTATAGAGGTAACATTATCGACAACTATTATTTTCTTCCAATATTCTCATAATGTGAGATTATTCTATCTCTTTGTTATTTTCCAAACAAGAGATGATTCGTTGTTCTGCATATCCAACACTAATCATGCACGCGCTTAGTGCGTTGGATCTCATCTTCATGATGATCCTCTTCATGAGGTGTCTAACCTTCTTCGTGAGGTGTTCTCTTCATGAGAATGGAGGAGTTTGTTCTTATTTCATTTCACAAGTATATACTAAACTAGAATCCACATGCGTCTCCATAGATTTTAGCTTGATAGTATACAATATTTAGTTTATTACTAGTAAATACAACTTCTGGTTTATAACTTCAAGTTACTCCACTCATTTTTCAAAAATATCTGGCATATGCTTTGCTTCATGCTTCACAAGAGCATTAGTCAAACTATTGTTTGATTTAGTGCGTGATATTATTCCTGCTTAAAGCTTTGAGGAATATTTTCTTTAGATCATTTTTCTTCTGTGGAAATAATATTTGACATTCAAAATAGGCTTTCTCTCCCCCTAATGCCAATATTAAATTTTTAATAGCATACTTCAAAAGATATCCTCTATCATGGGCTTAAAATAATTTAAATTCGTGTATCTTCTTCTACAAGTGGAGGCCCATT